GGCGTGTTCCGCGATTTAGTGATATAGCAGAATGACATTGAGTGTAGTCTGCTTTAAAGGTCCTCTTTAACGGCAAGTGTCAAAGGGGCGCGCAGGTTGCGATATAACCATATATAAAAACTTCTATCGGTCTTACGCTACCGTATTATCGGTGAAAAGTAGAAAGTTTGATGTTCACGAAAGGGGGCCTTTAAATTTTTTGACGTTTGTTGGCGCCAATACGACTGAGTAGATCGGCGATACAAACGATAGTCATTGCATTCGGTTATGCAGTTCTTCCAGGCGCCAAAGGGGTTGTTTGTGCGAGTGAAGATTCCATATCGTTGGATGCTCTGGTCAGTAACAGGTGCGTTCGAGCTCAGATTCGAAGTTATTGCTCCAAGAAAATACCTGCTTATAGCACCATTGACCGATTATGTGGAATCGGTTCGATACAGTCACACTGACAAAGACATTTATTTAATGGATGTGGTATATTTGGAGTACGTTTCCACTCATCACACGGTATAAAACTGTTGATCCGATTTGTTTAACTATCATGTCATACAACTTGAGGCCTTCAGATCACGTTGAGGGCACCAGGTCTATAAGTATAAATGGAATGTACTAGGATAAGGCTGACGGTCGCATGCGTTAAATCTCCTCAACATAAAAACATTCCTTGACAACAAGTGGCCGCCTTGTCAATTGAAATCGGTAAACAAGATGACCTTGAAAATGATTTGCAGGCGCTGTCTGTACTAAGAGCACTTTCGAAAAGTTATTACACAGTTTAGTTCAAACGCACTTAGTTTCTTGCGATTCATGGGATAATTTTCTTTAAATAATTTTCTTGACCCATAATTCAATAGATAGTTTTTTGATACATGGACAGGAAAGTCAGACGCAAAACGGGTGGAATGGCTTTTGCTAACAATTAATCAACACCGGTAACCTTAGCGGTACTGAATAAATGAAAAACACTCGCTGGGTGCATTCTTGGATTATGGCTTGATTAAGATTTGACCAAGTTTGCCTAGGTTTCTGCTTATGACAGCACTTAACTGAGTTCGTACAAGGCATGGTAAATGTCGAATTCCTGCGGGTGGCGAGGTTCAAATGGTGAAGTACTAAATCAACCGCCAAAGCATCTTTGCCTATTGAGAAGGAGTAATGGTGATTTACTTGTCTACTCCGGATGCAGTAGGGAATGGCTATTGAAGCTGAAAATAGAGCTATGTAACTATCGACCGTTGTTTTGGCATACGAAGGAAAAGATAGATCGGAGTTGAAGCTGGATTGTCAAGAATTAGCCTTTAATTGTTACTTACCCTCTTTTACTCTTTTATCTCTTAACAGGGTGAAACGTAGAGCGGAGACAAGCTGCCCCTTGAACGGAAGGTTGCAAAGCAGTATCGCAATTGGTTTTCGCAGAACAGTGATCTTCAACGGACCTGTGGCGAAACGATAGCTATTTTCCTGTTCTTAATTGGTGATGCTCACGCTTAGAATGAGATAATAGATCTACAGCCTCAGCAATCAGTGGCTTTGAGTCTACGGTAGGTCTTGATAAATTTCTTGTGCCTGTAGGGAACAAATCACAATCGAATAACATTTCGGAAGTGTTAAGTAGATTGAAAATTTTGAGCAGTACTACTCTTATAATATTCATAGAAGTATAGTCAGGAAGATTTTTCAACGGGCAAGATTTCGAGCATGAGATTCGCAGATCTGTTGGTCTTAGGCAGGTACTAACTGCATTTATTTTACGATTCGATTAAAGACACTTGTTTAGAGCAACATATTTTACTTCATGAAAGCTTATAAC